AAGAGAATGTTGAAGAAGAAAAAAAAGAAATTCTTTACCAGACTGGGATTGAAACTCCCTGGAGGTTCAAGGATATAACATTGAAGCATTCAGTGAGGCTGGAAAAGGCAACAAAAAAAGTTTACTCAGTTATTGGATATCGTGAAGGAAGCACATTAAGATTGTTTCAAAACACAAATCTTTTCTTGTTCATCACCATTTCCATCCTCATCACTTTCATCTCACTTTTGTGACTTTTCCATATTCATCTGAAAACACCTTTTCCAGTAAACTTTAAAATGTTGAAACATTTGCCTTTTTTAATAGCAAAATCAATCGTTTTCATTTTCCTTCAATTTTGACAATATTTTTCTTCTTTTCCTTTTCATACAAATTGTTTGAATCTTTTACCTTTGGGTTTGCATGTGAAATGAATATTAACTTTTCCAGGTTAACTGTGATTTTTGTTTTTTTTCATCATTTCTTTACTTTTCTCTCCAAATTGTTATGTTTTAATAATGGGTAATTGATTGGAAATAATAACATCAACTCATTGTTTTTCAACTGTCATTGGCTTTTGTTGGTTGTTGGTTTCAAGCTTAGTCAGCATCAATTGCTTTGCTTAATTCAATGAACCTTGCCTAAGCTTGTTTAGTAAACTTTTCATGTTATTATTACTACTCAATGAGAAGATTGGGAAAAAGAGAGAAAAAGATTTCACTTTATTGGATGATAACTATTAAATGATGAAGATAATGATGACAATGATGATAATCATAAGGATGATCATTTTTGCTGCTTCTTGGATCATTAAACTCAACCAAAAGTCTAATCATTCAACCAATCCATATTGGACTCTCGTATCAACTGTAAGTGATTTTTAATGCATTTTCTTGCAAATCAAAGACAAAGGTTCAAGAGTTGAAACCCAACTTTACCAGTTTCTGAACATTGGATAATCTGAACTAAACAAAGACTCCAATCTGATTCAAAGCAATTGAGTTGAAAATGATGGCCAAGAAATTAAAAGTTTAAAGTCATTTTGATTTTGCTTTTTTAAACACTTACGTTGAGTAACCAGAAAATGGTTAAACTTTTTCAGAATTTTAATGCAACTTTTTTTACACGAAATTTTTTTCTCCAAAAAATTGACTGAATCTACCATGACTTGAATAGTAAATCTTGAAATGTGGTATAAATTATTTAATCATCATGAAGTTCATGACAAAGAAAATTTGATTAGAAATGAAGGATAATTCAGCTGATGATATTAAGAAAGATTAACACCAAAATAAGGAAAAGTTAATTAGCTAAAGATGATTCTGTTTTTCCACTGTTCCTCATTACAAGAGCTCCTATTGTCAGGGAATTGAATGGAAGGGAAAGTTAAATAATCTGTTCTGGGAGGCAAAAAATATATTAATACTGGTAACAATGAAACAAGTTGGTAAAGTTTATTTACAGATTTAGATATTGTCCTTTAGACAATCAGTTAAAAGCAAAGTTTCGCTCTCAGTTTCTCTTCCTCATCATCATTTTTATCTGGCTCATTTTTTCCTCCTCTTTTCACTCCAATCATTGTATCAATTATTATTATTAACATTTTCACTCTGCCAATGTTAACAGTCGAATGTACAAAAATGCAAAAACATTGCCAATCCATTTGGTTCTCTTGTTATCCTAATGTTGATCATTTATATTGAACCTTTTGTATTGCAGGAAACTTTTGGACTGGAGCAACAACAGAACCTTGAAAATGATGGTAATCATTTGAAAACTTTTGTTCCGTTTTCATCATGAAATGTGGAAAAATGTTTTTTCTTCTTGTTCGTCCATTTCATGTATAAATAGACAAATTGAATGGACCTGAAAATCACGATGAATATTTAACTTAATTTTCGTTTCTCTTTTGCTTAAACTGTTTTTGCTTGTCTTGACATTTTCATTTTCAACTAACCATGTAATAGGCTTAACAATTGATCATTGGTTAGGATTTATCAAAATGGTTCAACCTGAACATAATCAATTACATCTGAACCTTTGAGCAAACAGAAGTCAGGCAGGAGAGAGAAAAAAAGTCAAAGCTCAGGGAAACCGAAAAAACACTCAACAAAATAAAATAATCCATAACTTGAATTCTCATGAGAAATTAACTCTATTTTGATAAATGTTTCATCAATTGATTGATTTCACTTAGACAGTTGAGGATCGACAAAAATTCAGGTTCAATTTGTTGATGACAAATTACACCGAAAAGTGTATCAAAAATGAGGTCAATATTAAGAAATCTAAGTCTTGTTCAATGAAAATCATCATCTGTATCATGATGAGATATTTGACAGAAAAATATGAAAATCGAACAAGTTTCAACGGGAAAATTTTTCATAAACTGGGAGTTGAAATGCTCGATAAAACAAACTGAAATTATTATTGGATTGAGAATATTTCTTATTTGTTTTTCGACTTTTGATGTCAACTTAATACTTATTTACGAGTTTTCATTGTTAGGTTCAAATGTTAATTTTAATAAGCTAGATGAGTAAAATGCGAATGGAAGATGAAGATGATGATGAAAATAGTAACATTATTATGCTTGGTTTAGCCATTGAAAGGTGAATTATGATTATCTGATTAGAAAGCAAAAGTGAGAAGAAAAAGTTATGCAAAAAGTGAATTTTTGGCTTGTTTAGTGGATCAACTCACAACGGAGTGACTCGACTCTTAGCCCATTAAAAAGAGTCAAATGGTTAGCTCGTGTTTATGGTAACCCAATGGCTTTCATTGACTATCATTTCCTTTCCTCTTTTGTATATAATAGCCTATCAAATGATTGTGATGCCCATAAATCATGGATCAACAAGGCAACCGCTTGAGGTGACGCTAACTCTCCCTCTCCTTCCCATCATCATCATCATCACAGTAGCATCCTCCTTCTCCTCCTCATCTTTATATCCAAAAATATTTTCTCCTTTTTTTCCATCTAATACATATAAATATAAATTTCTCGACCCAATCTTAGCAACATTTAAGCTTGAAACTAATCACAATGCTTTTCTTCTTCTGGTTATCTTTCAACTGCAAAGTTATGCTGATCTTCATTACACTCTCCAACATCATCCGTTTCATCATTCAAAGCCATTGTGCTTCTCATCAGCATCATCAAGTTTCTTTTAAATCTTTCAATTTATAACCATTTTCAATGTTCTTTGACTAACTTTTTTCTCTCTCTCTCTTCATTCCCTTTCCTTCTGAACAGCATGTAACCATTTACTTTGCCTTTTTAAAGATGACACAAAATGATGATGATGATGATGCTAGGATCAATAAAAGAGGAAAAAGGATTCAAGTTTATTTGCAGTTACAACGGAAAGAGTGTTTTCACCAAAACTGACCAAAAAGTCCAACTCTGTAAAGCTTTACCATTTTCAACTTTACAATCATTCATTTCTTTTACTCATTAAACATGAATAATAATAATTAAATTAATTGTTTCTCTCATAAATTAATGGCCATTTCAGTGAGCAATATTTTCCATGAAATGTTCTGAAAAAAAGAAGAAGAAACAAAAATCAACTGAAAACCCAGAAAACATCAATATTTATTTTATTGTAAAATCAATGTTCATTAGCTTATGAACAAATTTGCCAACCAAACTTCATAATTTTACTTGAAAAGTCCCAAAACCTAAAAGTGTACATTTTCTGGCAACAAACTGTCATCATTGGCATTGACCCTTGACTCTACTAAATAACCATCCTCATCAGCTCTCATCAGCCTTCATCATCACCATCATCAACAAAAACAACATCATTTCCCAGAAACAAAAAAGTCAACACAGATTTACTTATAAATAGTGGTTATAGCGCAAAAACACATTCAAATGTTTTCAGTTTACTTTTCAGTCTCTTCATCTTTCGCCATCTTTCGCCATCTTTCATCCAAAGATGTTGTATCTTTTGTTAACACTTAACATCCTTTGATGAGTCTTTTGTCTTCATTATCATCGCCATTATCATGGACAATTCGTGGGCGACAAAATGAAGTCTATTTTTACAATTGAATCTCTTTCATCTTTCCTTTGCTTTTCATCTTCACAGACCTTCATGTTTACCTGTCTTGTTTGATTATGAATCGGTATAACTTGTTAATGATCAACAATCAATCAACACAATTGATTATAGCCAAATAAATAAATAGTATGATTAATGTTTCACTTCAAATGAAATATTATAAATCAATCAACACCTTATTGACTTTTCCGTTCATTTTTGTCTACAATTTAACCATCAATTATGTATTTCAAAATGATTTATAAATTGTAATTGTTGCAAAAAATAACACTGATCAAGATGTAATCATTTATTGTGTGTACCTTCAATGGAAACTTCATTACAGAATAGAAATGAGAAAAATGAACAAATGATTAATCTTAACACTCGCCTGGTCATTCAATTGTTTGACACTTTGAGTTGAATATTAATCGTTTATCAATAAATTGTCTGAAGAGTTTAAAGGTTTATTCAAATTGGTAAAGATGTAAATGTCAAGATTTATTGGTTGAGTCACAGAAGCGAAGTCCTTTTGTCTTTCAGAGTTTAATGTCTCTTTTAGCTTCAATGGCTTTTATTGTCTTCAATCATCTTGAGGTCATTTCATGTCCAACCGTTAATGATCATCTTTTGAAGGTTACATTGGACAGTAACAGTTACTGGAAGCTGATTAAATCAAGATAATCAGGTTTAATGTGGATAAAGAGAGTTAGATAAATGGTCAAAATGGTTGGGTTAAGGGTAAGGTAAAGTTAACCTTTATGCATTTTACATTATAAAATGAAATGAAAACAATCAGTAATGTTGTTGTCATGGTAAGTCAAGAAGATAAGGAAGATAATGATGACTAAAAAGATGAAAAGAGAGACTAAAAAAGAAACTGAAGGAAAGAGGGAAAAGAAAGAGAGAGAGAGGATGATAAGACATGCGCTTCTTTATTTTTGTCATCTTATCTGTAAAATTAAACCTGAAAGCGGGACTCTGTTAGACTGTTTCAGTTTTATCCTGACTATGTCTAAGTTTACTTCAATGTTTTATTATTTTAATCATTATCATCATCGTCTGCACCATCATCATCATCATGATCGACATGGTCATTTGTGAAACAAAAAGTTCATTTTCTATGCATTTCTAATCAAATTGTTTCCGTTAAAAGTCAACAATCTTTTACTTTCAGTTTTTTTATTTGCTTTCACCATGTTTAACTAAATCTTTTTACAAACAACAACTTGCTTTTTCTCTGGTTTTTACAATTAACCAGTGTTAACTTTTTAACTACTATAGTCAACAATGATCAATAATTAATCAAAAATTGTGTGTCATCTAAATATTATTGATGATCTTGATTGTACCAATAATGTTGCCATTTTTAACGCTTCTTTCTGTCAACCAATTAGTCAACATTTGTTCGTCTGACTAATCTTTTGGGTTTACAATTTTTTGCTGACTTCAAAGTGATCTTTTTTTGTGACCATTTTCCTATTGATTTGTTAACAAATTTTATGATGATATCGCCAATGGTATCACAATGGTCTCACCTGTTTGGTGCTTTAATATCTCTTCCATGTCTTCTTTTGGTCATTTTGATTTATTCAATTGGATTTTCCTTTATTCGAATGCCAAGGAAAACGAAACACTCGCTAATCAACATTCTTTTCCTCATCACTTGTACCATAACATTGTTTACAATATCACTTACTTTTCCCTTTACATCATCTTCATCCACGCCGTCGTCCAACACTCATCAACAGCAACTTGTTCATTGTCGAATAATATCGGCATTAGTTCACTTTTCAACACTTTCCTGTCTTCTTTGGATATTTTTAAGTGCTATTTCAATGTATCGCAGTTTGTCTCATAGTGCCCACGAGTTTTCCTCATCAGTCAACTCTTCCTCTTCTTCCTCATCCAACAACAATAATACCAAATCATCGACAGATGATAATGAAGATGATGACCTTAGATTACCTGATCTCCCTCTTCGGACCCGCTCAATTCACCATCATTCTGTATCAACGTTTAAAAAGCGAACCTCACATTCAACTATTTTAGGCTATTATCTTTTTGGTTATGGATTATCCAGTATAATTTGCATCTCTTGTTTAACAATCAACTTTGGGTCAACCTATTCTTCCTTGTTATCCTCTCTAACATCAAGTTCAGCGTCATCAGCGCCTCTTCTTTTCTCGTCATGTTATGTTCCAATGACACCCGGAGGTTATGCTGTACTCTATGGTCCAATTGCACTTTTATTTTGCCTTAATCTAATTGTCTATCTCATTGTTGCTTGTATTTTAAGCTGTCTAGGAACCAACATTGTCTCACCCGGAGCAACTCTTCATGACTCAACAATATCTCTTAAAAATGGTCTCAATGGATTGAGTAAAGATGCCTCTATTAAGGTTGATCTTGAATGGACTTACAGGCGACAGTTGTTTGCACAAATTGGACTTTTCATACTCTTTACCAATCTCATTGTATCAATGATTTTTCTTGTTGCATGGAGGCCATTTTCATTTGTAAATCAATTATCTACATCTACATCTTCATTATTTTTACCACCATTATCCACAGCCGCTGCATCAACAGCCTCCATCAATGGATCCATTGTGACACCTTCAACACCAGCAACATCTACGACATTATCTACATCCAACTCAAGTGAATCAATTTCTTTGATTTTCAGTAATTCAACATCCCAGTTAATTCCATTAGTCGCATCTTCATCATCTTCATCACTCACAACAACATTACAGCTATCTTCATCCTCGTCCCCACCTGAAACAGCATCTTATCTTTTATCAGGAAATTTAAATGCCTTTCAACTGGATCAACTCTTTTACGGATTAGTCTACAGTCTATCATCTTTCCTACTTGCCTTTTACATGATAATCTTGTATGTTGCCAGACGCCGAGATGTTCGTACTTTGTTAACTTTTTGGTTAAAGGGTAACCGTAATAACCATCATAATCATCACCATCAGTATCACAGTCGTAACCGTCGTAATTGGTTTTGCTGTCTAACTGGTTCGGTTCCGGAAATCCCTTTAATGCCCAAAGTTGATGTTATTCGTAATAGTAGTTCACATTCAGCTAATAGTGATCATCATCATTTAGCTCAAGCTTTATTACAATCAGTTCGAGAAACCTCGTCCAGTAATAAATTAAACATTGATGAATGTGAAATATCAAATAACACTTCAAGTAACAGCAAAGAGCTTGCCCATGGTTTGGTTTATGAAGAGATCAAGATTCATGACAATACAAGTAGAGAAGCGATTCCTTATAAAGTAATTAACAACATCTCATCTGACCTGAGAAACAATTTACCCAGTTTAATTGAATCCCCTTTAATCAACAATGCAACACCAACACCATATCATCTAGATTACCACCAATCAAACCATGAAGTATTCATCAATCCAAAGTTGAATGCAATTGCCAAAAAGTTTTTTGAAAAAAATCGTCGTCGACAAGAGCAGCAACAGCAACAATTGAAAGACAAGTTGATTAAAAATGATTTAGATGCAAAAAATGTTCACAGTATAATATCCTCATCAGCCTCATCATTTAAAATGGATCATCCCGAGGTTGGTGTTACCGCTTCAATCTTTTCAAACAGACCAAGACTTTCATTTGATAATGGATACCATTCAAATGGTCTTCCAAGAGATCACCATCGAAACACTGGTTCAGCCTCATGTGTTGGTGTTCCCATTGCCGGGCGAACCAATGGTACCAATGAAATCAACAATTTAATTTCACGTCTACAATCAGCGGGTAAATTGAGTTCATCTGCTTCTTCAGCTTCCACTGCCATTGGATCAACTGTCGGACCAACCAGCTATTCAAAGGCCAAAAGTGACATTATCTGTTGGAATCCGTCCTCTTCTTTTCTCGCCAAATGGCAAGGACCACGAACCAACCCACCGCCATTACCACCTTTACCTACACGTAAAGAGATGATGTCAATCTCACAGTCAAACTCATCTCAATCCTTTTCATCAACAGTCCGTCAAACCAAACGACTCAATCTCAACGGTCCAACAGGAAAAGAATCACCTTCAACATTTCAAGATAACAATTCAACCAGCAACACTGGTGATGATAACAACCTAATCTCCGGTTTACGGGTTAAACTTTCCAACCGGAAACTTCCAGCCATTATAAGTCCACCTTCACCGTCCAATCTTCATAGAGCTTTAGTTAAGGTAAGAATTGGAAGAAAAGGCAGAAAAAGCAACTTTTCAAATGATTCCGATTATCAACATCATTAACAAAATTATCATTAAGTATGATGATGATGATGATCACCACAATCGCTTTATTTATTATCTACATTATTCCAAGAATAATGTTACACTTTTCATCCTTCTTAATGATCCAGACTAACAGTTATTAAAATGATTTTCCCATTTCCCATGCTAAATTCATCAACGGATTATCAATCTCTAATCTTCTGTAAATTGCCTTAAATTACTATAAGATGATGACAACTATTTAGTATCAAACTCATTTATGTTTCCTTGAAAATTACTAGCCTGGATTAACATGATTAGTTAAACTACAAAAATCAAATCTTGTTCATCTTCTCTCTTCAACCCAAATTAATTCAAGTTAAAACAGTTATAACAAAATCCTAGATAAATTGACTTTCATAAGTTAATTTACAAAACTGTTCATGTTGCCCTTTTTGCTCAACAAAGGCACAAAATTTAGTCCAATGATTAAATTAAATTGCTCTGTCAAGTGTATTAACATTGATTTGGTCTGGCCATTTGTCAGCGCAAATTAACATGATAAAATGTTGAACGATTTTGTTGCTTTTACATCTTGTTTTCAGCCAAAATTGAACCAAAGTCAGCAACAATTATACAAATTGTACGACGAGTTGTTGACAAAATGTTGAAACATGTAAATTGGTAAAAATTGAAGTGATGACAAGTTTACAATTGAAATACAATATGAATTAGCTCAACTCATTTGAATGGTTAACTCAAATTTGAACATCATTAAAGGACTTCATCAGACTCATCTACTGATGATCACAGATGATTATCATTAGCTTTGTTTAATGTTGCTTTTTTGCCCGTAAATATGAATTACTAAAAAAAGTCAATTTGTGAGTACAACAATTACAATTGAACCTTTTCTTAGACCAAAGTTTGAGATAAAATTAGACGATGAAAAACAGGAAAAAGCGGAGAGACTCAAAAGATGAGAATGAAGATGATGATGAAGACTTTGAAAATGATCTCAAGCATCCAAGTAAAGTAACATGAACAAGGAATAATCATCATCTTTTAAATACCCTTTTTTTTGGCTGAAAAGGCATTTTCTTGCCGATAATTGCATTTCCTTCATCATTTCAAGATGATCAACATTCATCCTCATCATTTGTTCAACTTCCTTGATCAACAAAAATTACCAAGAAACAGAAACAAATTGACTTCTATTAACTCAACTTTATTTATACCAAATCAATTGCAATAACATTTCAAACCCATTTCAACATTATGAATTATTATTATTGTAAATTGAAAAAAAAGGTTTTTCCTTCCTCATTGATTCCCATTCAATCAATAGTCTAAACTTAATTAACCAGATTAATTTGTTTCCATTGTCGTTACTCTGTAAATTAGCTTTTCTTGGTTCTCACAGATTCAATCAATAGACATTCAAATTATGTCTATTAATTAAAACCTAATAATAATGATGATAATCTCACCGTTGGCTGTTGAAGTTGCTTTAAATCTCATGCTTGATCGATTACCATTTGCCGATTGCGATTGTGATTTCAGATGCTCCTGATTTTGTCTAGTTATTAAGTTAATCACTTTAACCTTAAATTAATCCAAAACTAATAACAATCATTAGAATGAGAAACAATTGATTGTTGGATTTTGCAAAATGTAAATGTAAATTTCTCGTTCTCTCATCATTATACAAGTTGAATATTATTTTTTGGTTAAAAAACGATTTCATGGTTCATTGATTAACTCAGTTAACCTGAAACTATTATTTATTGTAATCAAGTTAATTTCTGAGAAAGTAGCCAGGAAAAAGTTGCATGGAAAATGTAAATATTGAAAGATTCTCATCACTTTATCACAACATTTTACCTTCTCTAATTGATTTATCATGGAGACATTTTGGCTTTTGCATCATCCTTATCATCATCTTGATCATCCTCTTGCCAATCTTTATTGAGGCCTCATCACTTATCGGTGCGGCAAAAGAGTCAGACACACACACACACATGAGAAACCATCGAGAGTCAAGAGGAAGGCAAAAAGTAAAAACAATGCCGATTCCTCTGAATCTTCATCACCTTTGACAATCAACTTAATTGATCCATGAGTTGGTGATTGACTGAAAGTTGAACTCAAATCGGCAATTTAAAGTTATCCTTTTTGGCCGCAATTGAAACTGTATCCATTGAAATGACAGAAAAAAAGTCAACTTTTTTTTAAATCTCTCTTATCCTTGAAAGATAATCTTGAGATGTTGTTTTTCAAGTTTTCATTAACTGTCAAGTTAAAGTAGCAAAATAGTCAACAACTAATTGCCCTTATTGATTTACTTATATTTCTCAATGAAATCAGATATTAATTAGAATGAAAAAAAAAGAGTTTAATTAACTCTTCCATGAAATGTACTTTGTATTCAATTTGAATAACTTTGTAATCGGAAAAAAACTAAACAATTTCAAGTGACTTCACCAGTTATTGGACATTATCTCAATTTCACCCAATTACTCCTCTCGACCCTAAAAACAGTTGCAACAAAAGGGCAGAAAATGTCGATTCCATTACATTCCAATTGAAATCGCAAATCTAAACCTTAATCAGTCATTCGATCCATTAGAGCGTTAAAAAAATCAAAGTCTGAAAGTACTCATTGAACCTAAAAAGCTGAAAAAATTGCCAAAGAAGTTCTGAATTTGTTTTTTGGTTTGACCAAACATTCAGATCTTCACTGTCTACCATTTCATTCTGAATTTTTGTGTTTTCAGGTTTATCTTTTTCCAGTCAAATTGATTGTTCAATAACTAATTGACCAAAAGAAGTGCATCAACTGTTAAAGTATCACAATTTACCTTGCATTGTCTGTTGATGACTTTGTTGGCGTAAAGCAATTTGAACTCAATAAACAATTTGACTGAAAAATGAAATGGACTTCAATCAACAACCTGTATTTTGAACATTTGACAGATGAAGGTTTCATCTTGATCTTGATATGTTTAAAACTGAATCCCACCTAATCTTGCATGTTATCCATTGAGATATCAAATCTGACTGCATTTCAATTTAAACCTACCACAGAGTTTAACTTTCACTCAAAATTAAATTATCACTTTACTCAATATTTATCTATTGACTCGAGGTGAAAAATATATTTTTGCTTCTTCTTCTTCTTTCATTTGCTTTCAATTTTGTTTATTATTTTTTCATTTGTTTTTTTGCCTCATTTTTACATTTTTGCATTGATCTTTGAATCTTCAACTTCCCAAGCCCAACATCTTTTCAAGAACATTTCATTTCAACTTGAACGCTGTAAATTGCAGACAGCAATTGTACATATAAACACACTCAGTGAAGAGGCAAAAAACACAGCAAAAGGCAGTAATATCATTTACATTTACAGTTATTCATCGATTTTTCATCAGTTTCGCTTGAACCATCAAAATATCACTTTTTTTGCTTCCCATCTTCATCTTATTTACAAACTCAAATCTCAGCTTCTTTGAAACTCATTTAAAACTCTCTTTCATCTTCCTACATCTTGCTTTATCCTCAGCCTTTTATTCATCATCATCTTTTCATATCGTAACCTTTTCCACTTTTCCCAATCTCTTTCCTCTTCATTATCATGAAGTGAACCAAAAATCTATAACAAAAATGCATTTGCATGTTTCTTGTACTTGTTATTAGTCTTAATCTTTCTCCATCTTTCCTCTTCCTCTCTGATGATATCTCTGTAAGAAATTAATTAAAACCAAAGAATCCAGAAAAGTTAATCTTAATTAATCTCTGTTAACTTTTCATTGTTTCAAATCTCTTCCCAATCATGTTAACATTTCCCTTGAAAATTTCATCCAATGCAACAAAATTTAATTAACAACTCGCTTACTTTGTTTCAATGATTTTAAAACATTCAACTTGCAAGTTTGTCAGTCAAATGTTGAGGATAATGAGTGACTTTAACAGTTGGTAAATTGGTCCGGATGACCTTTCTTACTTGACCTTTTAAACACTTGTCTAAACCAGTCACAGAAAACTTGGACTCCTCCATAAACATCATCTTTTCAGGTCAACCGAAAATTGAAACAACTAGAATGAAAATAAATCTTGACCACTCTTATGGTTGTCCGGGTCAGCATTCGCAATGCCTTTCCAATGCTTTTCCAAACGAACCAGATTTTTATTCTATTGTCATGAACTTTTAAACATTCAAATTGTTGATCAATCAAAAATTTTAAACAAAACGTTTCGCTTTTTGTATATTGCAATCGACACTGAATCAATGAAACCAATCGTGATAAAAATGCTCTAAAATTAAATTGATACAATTTTGCTAATCATAATCAATGAGCTCTTGTATTTTGAATAGATTTTTGAACATCGAGCAAAGAGTTTGAAATTGATTCTTGAAGTTTCATCCAAATTGTGTCTCATTTTTGACTGAATTGTGAAAATGTTTCAAATCAATATTTGACTAAATTGACTAAGTATCGTTAAAGGAACCACAAAATTGACCATAAATCGATTACTTTGAAACTCCCTTTGGGCATTACAATTTAATTTAAATTTGGTTTTAACAGTCAATTAAGAGCAGAAAGATTCGTCGTTGATCATGATGAACCCATTTCATGTCTTTACCTTGCATGTTGTAAAATTTATTGCTATTTTGTCTCATTCAATAAGATTGACTGAAAAAAGCAAGAAAAAAGTAAACCCAAGTTTTGACATTAAATTATCTTGCTCATCTCTTCGTGCCACTTTCATCTTCTCCTTGAAACTTTCAAAGGTCAGTTGGGCCTCAATTGAGTATCGATTTGTTTGGTATCAATGAAAATATTTGAAATAAGTTGCAAGCCAAGAAAGAAGGCAAAAACTCTAAAAACTGGTCAGATTAAAGGCCAAGTCATTACTGTTATGAACCTTTGGCCAGTTTTTGCCTCTTTCATCTTGATCACTTGAATCACAGTTATTACATTATATGAAACTTTTCCTCTTCAACCAACTTTCCATGATTATCAGAGTTGCAGTTGCAATCATGATCCATAATCACCACCATCATCATCATCATAATCTTGAACAATCAATTGACTGATTGCTAGCAATTTTGATACACTTTCTGACTGCAACACCAACAACTGATTATCAACAATCAAAGGTGTTAATTTATTTACTTTTTTTTCATCACGTTCTTTACTATTTTTCTTGAGCTTCTTTTTCACTGAAAAACTCTGTTCAGAAACAATATGCTTTTTGAGGAAACTTTCGAGAAATGTTTTTCTCGCTTTACACCCTTTTACCCTACTTTTTGTGTGGACATATTCACTTACTTTCTCTCCATCCTTTCACTCTAATCATCCTTCTCATCATCATTATCATCATTCACTGACAAACACTTTGATAGTTATAACAATGTTAACCAATTCCCTCCTTTTTTTACTTTGATTCAAAGAAGCAAAAATACTTTGTTAAATGGATGTGAGCAAAGACAGTAAAGTGATGATGATGATGATGATTGTGATGATTGTGAAGATAAAAGAAAGTCGGAGTTTGCAGATGAAAAGGATAACTTTGAATCGATGAAATGGTCCTGAAATCAGGATGAGTTACTCTGAACATTTTTTTCTGTTCCTCTTTTGTTGAACAATCTTTCATGTCACGGAAAAATTTATCTCCATATTTCATTCCATTCTTTCTCTTCTTTTCATCATCATCATCATCATTATCATCCATTCTTAGTCTCTTTTCATTCCCTTTATCTACATAAAACATCTTCCTGTTAATAATCAAATAAATGATTAAACATTATTTCCTCGTCTTCATTAACTTTACCTCTTGTTCAATCGGTTATCATGTTTACTATGAATTTGTATATCATGATGGTTACATTAATGATAATGATGATTATGATGATGTTACAGGAGGCTAACTTTAAGGTAATTTATTGCGACTTTTGAATGTTGTCTTTTTGTTTCGAAAATTGTGACTTTTCTTTTTTCTTTCGGTGATTTTTGTGGCAAATAGTTTACAGGTTTCAACGATTGATTGTCAATTGTTGTAACGATATTTTGTCATGAAACTGATTTCCTTTACATTTTGGTTGCATCTTGAAGGGAACCCATAAATATCTATTGAGTTTGAAAAGATTATCAAGAAAATATAATAACCTATGGGAGTAAACCATGAAGTTGAACCAATTCTTTTTCTCTTTTCTCAGAATTGCCATCTAAAGGCTTGAAATTTGTGACAAGTAATTAAGATGCATTCGTTTCTCTTCTCATATCAAACATTAATCTTAACTAATCCATTTAGTATTCTTGATTAGCTCGCACAACTTGAAACAAGCGTGTCAAGTGATCAATTTTATGGATCGTGAGAAATGTTCAGTAGCTGAACTTTTCTCAAAAATAGCCTGATGAAAAGATAACAAGAAAAACATTTTTTCGCCACTCAGTTTTGTTCATCAATCTGACCTGAGAGTAAAAAATATTGACCATTTGGTGTACATTACATTTACTCATGTATTTTGAATTAAATTCATTAATCAAAAGCCGAGAGGTTTGATTAGAGTTGAACTCATAATTATTGATAGATGAGTGTATTTGATAAGTTAATTATTTGATCCTGAAACTTGAAGTCTCATGGAAAACATGAAAAATTGTTCTCAGCTGTCAGCAAGAATAAAAATACCAAAGAGTCAGTTGGAAAAGGCTTTTCATTTTCAGCTGGTTAACATAATTCAACAATCATTTAGCTTCAACTTTGGGTTCTTCAAGTCGCGATATTTAAAAGCAGTGTCTTTATCATACCTTTACCTTGAGTTGAACCATTTTGCCTCATCATTGATTAAATTAAATCTCAATTTATAAATTGTTGTTTCAGTATTTCATCTTGGACTTGTCTCAAGTTGACTCTCACTTTGACCAAAGCTAACTTGTCTGGCTTGATGTTTCAGGTTTCAGGTTTATTTTGCATCATCATCGGGACAAGAAATTGATTGGCCTTGCAACAATTGAAAATGAAGATTAAAACTGATTTGATTCCAATAAACATTCATTAATGTTGCACTGACTCAGACTTTAAAGCTTGTGTTTTGAAGTTTACTGAAGGAAACATGAAGTCTGTTGGTCAACATATTGAATGAATTATGATGATCGAGTTGATTTGATTGCAATAAATTTTCTATCATGAAATTCTGAATGGACATTTATTAGCCCTTCTGGCACTTGCCCTGATGCTTGCCATTTATCCACCTTAATCTTGAATTGGTTTTCAAGAATAAAATTACATTAAAGATTGCGGTTTTATGGTAACATTTTCAATGAAAATGTTGAACATTTTATCTCATAGATTGAAATGATTAATGATAAATGTTTCCAATTGAATTGGATGGAAATGAATTAATTTTATTCAATTTACTTTTTTCTTCTTCTCGCTAAATTGTTACAAATGATTTTGTTCTGTTCATTTAATTCCTGTGAGATTCAACTTTTCAACTTGAACTAAATCCTATGCAAATGCATGATAAAAACAGATGATGATTAGGGTTGAATGATGATTGTTGTGATGAGAGAAAGTGAGAGTCTATCGAGATTTGTTGAAATGATTTTGATGATGTTCAATCTTTTTAAGAACATGAGATTCACATGAAATTGTTTTTCCATTAGGATAAAGGGTAATCATTAGAAGGCTTTTTACTGCATCAACAAACTGTTCAGATGGATTCAGAATCAAATTGAACGATTGAACGAAGAGTAAAAGAAGAAAAAAGTAAAGTTGATTGAGCAAATCAGATTCAGAAAGATCATTAACTTTGATTGCTTTTTGTGTGTTATCACTTGTATTATACATTTAATTTACGTTTTACTTTTTCCGCTCTTTATTTGTTAACAAGTATCAACAGACCCAAATTGTTATCAATGTATCTTTATATTGATTACAGGTAAAGCCTCGGGATTCATTTCAAATATTATCTTTTGATTGACTGATTTTCTCTCTTCTTTTTCGTCTTTTTTTCATGGTAACAAGATATTCTTTCACTTGCCAACCTCTGAATATAATATTTGTCAGCAAACATAATCATCATAATGATTGCTTTTAAGCTTTCGCCGAGTTGCGCTCAGCTTTGAGATAATCTTTACTCAATAATCTTCATGTTGGTTGAAGCTTTCAATTTAATTAGCTTTCGACACTTCATTCAGAATCAAATTGATTCTCATGACATTTTATTGGTAATCATAAAGATTACTGTCAAAAGTATTAACTTTCAGTTGCATTATAACGCTCTTAATGCACCTTTTGTGCATCAAAACCAAATAGTTTTGTATTGAAATTAATCTAATGGCTTTTAGTTGAAGATCGCCTAATTTTTAGACTTATCCCGGTTTCAGCTTTCATCTTATTTTAGTCTTATTCTGGTTCAAGATTGATTCTGAAGTTGCCTTAATGATAGTTTAATTGAAACTCTTCTAGTTAACTATTTGCTCAACATTACTCTTGAGGGAATTGAATGTTTCATTTGGAATTAGGAAAGTTTACTTTTCTGCAATTGGTTTAGTTGGTGAAAGGCTAACTACCTGTTGGTTAAACAGGTAAATTGTAACCAATTTGAATTCACCTTGAATTAGATGAACTGAATAACTCTTTTCTCTTCTTGATATTGGGTGACAGTTTAATTAACTCAAGGTAATGGCCAAAGTTGAAATTACAAGTTGCTTCATTGCCATATCACAATTCACCATCAACTTGTTCATCTCCTTAATAATCAACAAAATATACTTTTATTTATAGCTTACAGGAAGCACTGGCTATGATTATAATAATAGTAAGAATGATGAAAATGATGAGAATGACGAAGATGATGATATAAATGATGATACAATATTATAGCGATAAGCTTTAGTTGAAGTATTAATAATAATATTTTAAGGCTTAAAGGGCAACATTGAATTGTAATTAATGGGGAATTAGTGATAAATTATGTGCTTTGCTAACATAAGCGCTGATCCAGTGGTCATAAATTGTCTTTAATATTCAGATTAAAGTTGATTAGATGGACCATTTGAGATAACCTTAATGACTTTACATTGAAAAACATCAACAACTTGAATTGAATGTTGATTTATCATTTGGAACGTTTTAATTCTAATAATTTTTCATTTTCTTTCATGTTAACAGTCTTCTTCGTCAATTCCTGGTGCCTTAGAGGATCGAGACCAACAACAAAGCGAGATTATGTCCGTTTGCTGTGGATCTGAAGTAATGTCAACTGTCTCGGTACCTTGGACTTGTTACTCTAAAAGAACGGTACCAATTTTGCGGCCAATCAATAATCCTGGTGAAACACATTATCCAATCAATTCATCGTCGTCATCATCAACTCACCATCGGCATCATTACCATTCCCATTCTCATCATCACCATAGATCTCACCATAAGCGATCTTCACGATCTCACCGTAATAACCATTGTAATCGCTGTTGGGATGTTTACTTTTGTGATATCTGTGATCTTTGTTCAAAGTCTCCACCAACCAGGCGAATAGAAATTAATAAAGATCATTCATCTGGACATTTACCGAATCATCGTTCATTAAACTCTCATCATCATCATCACCTTCCTCCAACTCCAAATTCATCTGCATTGATCAAGAAAGATTCATCGCTTATTGATGTAAATGAAGCACATTCAAAGACTGGTCCATTGTCTGTTAATAACCATTCACCGCCTCACTGTCATCCTCGTAAAGCCAGTTCAACGGTCAGCTCAAATGGCGGGGAAAGACGTCGTCGTCGTAAAAAAAGGCCGAGTCAATGTAAAAATCGTTCATCGCAAGGACCAATAACGGGATACTCTAATCATGGACCTTGTAAACATTTATCTCGATCAACCAGTGTCAATGAATATCGATCATGTCACTATTGTTATACCAAACATTATTCATCTTCCGACACCCAATGAGATTTATACATAACTTATTAACAATTATTGATAAATGCTTTAACTGCTTTCATAAATAAATCTTGTTATAACTTATAATAAAGACAAACAATTTGAATTTGAAATTAATTTTTTCGATTTCAACGTAAACAAGCTTCATCGAAGTTTAAATAATTATTTGTATTGTACTCAATTGTAAAATATTTAGAGAATAAAAATGCCAAGTAAATTATTTAATTACTATCAAAACTTGTCTTCGTTTGGCTTTTGAGTATTGTTTGTTTAAATTATAAGAAGTGATGCCATCAAATGAATTGTTTTCACAACTTGGAGTTAAATTCAATAGATTGGACGGGAACATAACCAAACAATGGGGAAGCAATAGAATGATAAAAAAACCTTATATTTTGAAGATTAATCCATCGGTGATACAGTTATGATGAATAAAACAATTTTATCGACAACTTGGAGTATAGAGAATGTATTTCTAACTGGATATGGATATCAACATTGACTTAACGTTTATCTTGAGATAAAATAGTAGCTAAAAAGTGTAGCTTCCATAGCATATTATCGATATCTTCAATGTACCACTGGATTGATAGGTTCGGCTTTAATAGTGGAAAAGACCAGTTTAGACTCTTTTTCGTCACTTATCTCACCAATGACAGCACTTGTAAAAGATAGAAGAAAATATTAAGATTAATAAAGATGCATCAAATGACCAAACGCGAGTTTAACTTGAATTAATCATCTGGTTCTGTTACTTACACATTATCACCTCTAATTATATACAGACCAAGTGGAACCATTTCAACACCTTGAGTCATGGAATAGACACGTTCATGAGAGTCATCAAGAATTATATTAATGGTCTGATCGAAGCCTTTAAGAGTACCCTGAAATAAATGAGAAATAAATTAGCAAATTGATTTTTCAATACATTTTCCATAGACTTCATGCCAGCAACAAAATCAACTTACCACAATGTTCCTACCATCGGCAGTAATTACATTTACAAAATCTAGAATTGAATGCATCAAAATAGATGAAGGAATGGAGAAAATTCGATGACAAAATAAATGTTAAAAGCAATTAGATTCAGCAACTAGACTCCGAAAACAAAAACAAGATTGAAATGTAATACTTACGATTAACATAAGGTTCTAATGCTGAGGTCATCCTTGGTTGAGATAGACAGTTATGCAAATTAATAAAGATTGAACACTACAAAAGAAAGAAATATGACAAATTAGAATCAATGAGGACGCTAATAAAAAACGCACAATTAGATCAACATTAAACTAAAGTCTTGTCAAAATCTATTCTAACAGAGCGCTTAAAATTTTCAACAAAGACCTTGCGCGCCATCTAGGATGTCAAAGAATAGTAGCAAACAAGTGGGAAAGTTGAAAGAAAACAAGACAATTTTAATATTAAAATGTGATTTATTATTATATTCAGTTTTTAATTATAATTAGTTTCATATATTTAAATTATTTTGTCTTTTTTCTTGTCAAACATATGATGTTACAATTAAATATCGCTTTTTGATTGATGATGATGGTGTTGATTATAGTAAACTTACAATGAACTTGAGTCACTCATTAAATTCAATGTGGTTAGTTCAATCCAAGTTGTTGTATTACAGTTTATTTATAATGATAAAAATGGTGGAAAAAATGATGATTACAACTATTACTGTGGAACACAATAATTAAAAGTGATTGTGAACTATAATTACGTTAAAGCAAATAAAAACATCAATGATTATGAAACATCAGAATGTTTTTATTATGAATCTCTCCTAAAACAAGCTTCACATGTTGGTTATTAGGGTGTCCGGGTCAATGTGACCGGGTTTTGAATTTGAATATTTTATCGATGCCCCAACCAATTTAGCCAATTTTTTCGAAAATCATATAAATAGAGATTCAGCCTTTTTTTGACACGTCATTTGTAATTGTCCGTTTTCATATTCCAAATTTAACGGAAAAAATCGAAAATAATCAAATTTTTTGAGGCTTAAAATTTCTAAAAAAACCAAGAGTCCCCCCTGTGATTTGCTCGCGATAGAAACTTTTTTAATCGAAAATTTCTCGAAAACTTGGAGATCAGGAGAAAAATTGAGAAAAGTGATTTTCAATCAACCCAAGTGCTATAATTAAATGAAAAGACTGTGCAAAATTTTTTATTGGTATCGACGCTATATGGCCACAAAGTTCGAAATTTACGAAATTGCCATTTTTCGATTTTTTTTCAAATAACTTTTGAATTACCAATGCGACGAGGGTTCAAGTTGTGTCAAAAAAAGGCTGAATCTCTATTCATTTGATTTTCGAAAGAATTGGCTGAATTGGTTCGGGTATCGATAAAATATTCACATTTAAAAGCCGGTCACATTGACCCGGACACCCTAATATTACGAGTCAAGCAAATTGATCAAGATGAGTTATAATCATCATTTTTATTATCTAAAACCCTGTTTTCAGTTGAAGGCATCTCGTTCAATTTAGTTAAACATTTAACCAAATTAGATTGTTGCTGTTGAAGGTGGTTCAAGTTATCGTCATCAAATTTAGGTTCAGTGCAACCTTTACTTTCAGCCACCTTTGATTCCGCCATCAGTTCAGGTTTGTCATTCTCCTTTCTATCATCAGTGTCATCTTCCTCATGGTCACCATTTTCATCATTGTGGTCACTATTTTGATCCTTTTCCTCCTCTTCAGGTTCATCTTGATTGTAAACGTTGAGTCGACAGCTGATTGTGTCTCTATTGCTATCGTTTGAAGGCTTTCCAGTCTCTTCATCATCGCCTTCTTCATCGGAAATGTCTTCTGATTCAGCAATTCTAAGTGGAGCCAGGCTATCCTCGTCATCATCAAAATCAACCTCATCAGTGTCATCGAACATGGTATTTGACAATTTATTTAATTGCTCCTCATTGATCCCGGATCCATCTTTTTTCAAATCAAAATCTGCTTTCAATGTTGCTCTAGAAGTTAAATTTTGAGCCGAGTTGAGTTTATTTTCATCATCTTCTGAACCCATTTTAGTACAACTTGCTGATATGAAGCTGCTATTGCTATTATTGGTTGACTCCATGTCCATCATGTCAACATCCTCACATGTATCGGAACAAGCTGATGAACTTTGCTGCATAACTGTCGAGGCAACGGTCGATGAACCATTTTTACTCGATTTGCTCTTCTTTTTATGACTTTCCCCAGAAGTTGAATTTTTATCTCCTCCAGTAACTCGATGTTCAGCTGCTTGAGCATTGGTAATTCCTTCTTGTTTCTTCCATTTGGTTCTTCGATTTTGGAACCAAATTTTAACCTAAAAAACGGTTGAAAACATGAAATTAATAAGAAAATTCTAACCAACTCATCGGAACAAATGAAATCTGTAAGTCAAATTGAATAATAACCTTATTTACCTGAGTCTCAGTGACTTGAAGGCGTCTTGCCATTTCAGCTCTTTCAGACGAAGAGAGATACTTTTTAATTTCAAACTGTTTTTCCAGCTCGAAGATTTGTCGCCCAGTGAAGGTTGTTCGTGCCTTTTTCTTGCGACTTTTATCACCCGGTGATGTGGCGTCACCCATTGAATCCTCATTGAAACGTCCAGTAAATTCACTTTCCATTGAATGGTTAGACAGGTGACTATCATTGCTATTGTCATTTGATATTAAAGAGTTTTCCAACAATTTATCTTTACTCATTGATATGGTTCCATTGGCTACCGAAGAGATCAAATTATTTACATCATTTTGGCCTTCACCAAGGAATGAATTGGTTTCATGATTATTAACTGAACTCGATAATGAAGAAGCTTTTGATTTACAGGAATCTTTTTTTCTTTTCACTCCTTTACCAGGAATCAGGGAAGATGATGAACAAGACGAGGACGATGAAGAAGATGATGAATATGTAAACACGGTTGATTCACCTGAAAAGACAACAGTTTATTAATAATGGATACAATTTGGTGATAAAGTTACTCGATATGCAACTTGTTTTATAAACATTTATGAGCATTTCAATTTGAACAAACATCTTTAATATTGAAACCAATTTTTCGATGTTACAAAAAAAGCAAATATTATCTCATCTTAACCTTTTGAAGGTAACAATACAAATAAAAAAAAGAGTCGAAACTTGTTATTTACCTTTTTCCCTTCAATATTGAACTGAGGGAATCTAACAATGAAAATGGCGTTCATTTGAAAAGTGGATGAAGATTGAAATGAAAAAATAAGACAATCATGACAATTGAGTGTAATAAGGTAGTAAATAAATACTGGTAAACAATACAAAACTCAATGTTAATTTCGTTCAATTTAAAGACAAGAAATGTTACCTTTTCTTTAAAGTTTTGCCCTTTTTTCATGCTTTTATAATAAATTACCTTTTTCTGTGCCAGTTGATAGACAACAAAAGGTAGCTTTATTTTTATTCAATCTTCAAATAACAGAGATAAAGGTTGATGAGTGATTACAATAAATTAAATTACAATAATCACGAACAAGCTTCAAGTGAATGTTGAACGATTAACAGATGAATGGTAAAGAGTGAATAAAGATTTAAAGGTATTCATGATAATCCCAAGTAAATGTTTCAAAATGCCTCCAGATTTCATTTTGAAACAAAATTGTCATCAATTGATGAAACAATTTTCAACCCAAAAGCTAAAGATTTTATTGAACACCCAAAAAACTAGAAAATTTAAAAACAAAATGTGAATCCATTGTAAAGAGTGAAAATTCAATTTCATCGCAAAAAATTAACTGCATAAAGCATAAAAGGCCTGGCAATTTGATCAACTTTCAAGTCTAGATTTGAAGATGTTATCGAGTTGAAAACTCTTCATGATCAAATTATGATAAATTAACACTGATTCAAGTTTTTCATTTTACAAAATTTCAATCCCAGTCTTGAGATAACATGGAATGATAAAATATGATTTCTTTAAATGTTTCTGTTTGAGTTACATTAATTTAAAATAAAAAAGACTGACAAAATTGAAAAACAGTAAATGCAAGCATTTTTATAACTCGATTCAGAAATGAAATAACTTGCAATCTCTTTAGTTTATAATTTCAGGAGAATCGATGACTTTTCTGACCTTTTGTCGAAACTCGAAAGCTGTTGAAGTAGAACTTTTTGTCCCTTTTTGATAATTTTAAACGAGTTTCCTGAACATCGTTTCGTCAAGATTTGGGTTTACTTTTGAATTACTTTTTATTCTTGAACAAAGGAAAGACTTAACTTGAAAGCCTTTTTACCTTGAAGAAGACAGATAAAAATGGAAAATAGATTTCACTCCTTTCCATGTTATTGCTCATAATCTGAACTTGGAATTGATATTTGAGAGGAAACAGTTTAACTTGTCAAACATGAGAATCAAAAATTTCAATATTTCATTATTTCCCTTGAAATGATAACAAAAACATTTCCTTTCAAAATTGGAAACACTTTGAACCTTATTTTTGCCTTAAAAATGTTCCTCTTCTCAACAAATCAAACCTTAATACATCAACTTTACTGAACAACAAAAAAAGTTTCATTGAATGAGTTGAAAAGAAATTTCTTGTTTCACCATTTCATGTGAAAATAAGCAAAAGAATTTCTTTTTTTCTTTCATTTATAACATTTTTTTGTTCGCTTGTCATTTCAATATTCACTTTGATGTAAAAGGCAAAAAAGAGATACTTTTCGAGTTCAACTTTTTCCTGCAAAAACTGGAGTTCATTTATAATCACTATTATCTGATGATGAAAAAGCAAATATCATTTAAACACTTTACTTTGTTTGATATCATTGAAGAAATTAAATGTTCACTTTCTACCCTTGAGACATTTTATTCAGGTTTCACCTGAAACAAGAGTGAAATTAAATTATTTGAAATGCAATGAAAATTATCTGAAACTTTTCAGTTCACAGATAAACTTGTAATGGAAAACGAAGAGACAATAATGTTCAACAAAAGACAACAAATTAATGAACCATTCAACATTTAAATGTTGATGAAAGTCAAAGTAAATATTATCTGTAAAACAAACAACATTTCAATATTGTCTCAGAATCACAAGTAAAACTTGTTTGTATTTATGTTTTACCGTGAAAAAAAAACGACGAGAAAAATGTGATTTACAGTTATTGCATTTTCCCAATGATAAAAAGTAAAAAGTCAAGAGAAAATATTTTTCCATGCAAATCTCATTTTCCCTGAATGTATCATTCCTTGTACGTGCAAAAGTATCGAGTAGTTTAAAGTATAAATTGAAAGTTGAACCATTTGCTCAACCTTATGAGAAGAAAATTTTTATAGCTCAAAAAATATTGATTTTTACGAGCAAATATCAATCAATTTTCAAATTACAATTCATTTCCATTTTGGGAAAATACTTGAAATGATCTTAAATTTTACACTTTTAAAGGTTAATTATTTCTGATTCAATATTAAGTTTCTCATTAAACAAGATAAAATAATAATAACATGATATAATCGATGAGCCAAGAAACTCTTGAGAAGGAAAAGTCTTGGGTTTTGCTGAAATTACATTGACTTTAGATGCTGACATAGCATTTGATATTTCAATATTTTTCTTGTTGACTGAAAGTGTTTAGCTCTTTATCATGACAATCATGGAATCTTGTGACAATTTTCTGTTTCCAATTGCTATTAATGTTCATTTCAACTTTACTTTTCCATTTCCAATGTTAACTCAACAAATCCATCTACAATGCCCTTAAGGTAATAATCATACAAAGGTATAATCGTAAGCTTACGATCAAGGTAAACATTATGATATTAGCCTTTTCGTTTGTTTTGCATCAACAGAATCATCATTCCTTATTAGTTATTTTGTTCTTGATTTCATTGTTTTTTTTGGTGTCTCTTCATCTTTTCTGGTTGGAAATATTTTTATATGGATAAATGATTATTAAGTGTACAATCAGTTGAACATTCAATGTTTATATCTGAACATGTGAATGATCTAAATGATTTATTATGTAAATTGTAGTTAAGCTTTGATTGATCATTTTGCATTTTGATGAAAACTCTTTGTGCTTCTTTTCCCTGTTAAATGCGTTAATACAAATAAATCTGACGAGAATTGTTGAGAATCAATTTTAGTATTGATTTAGCTTTTTTCAGTTGAAAGACAAAATGTTATTTACAATCAGATTGAACCATCAAAGAATATAATCCTCTTTTGATTGTCATCTTTTCTCATCATAAAAGCAAGATTATCTTGGTGGAATAACAGGGAAAATGAAGAAGAAGAAAAAAATGTTTAGCTTTCATGATAAGATGATGACAATGATTCCTTTTTGTGTCTTCATTTCAATTGTTATTACCATTGATTGAACTGGCCTGATTAGGCAGTAAATGAAGAGATGAGAATGATGATGATGATGATGATTATGTAAATGATTAAGGTGAATATAACTTTCATTTACATTTAATCAGCTTTTCCATTCCATCAAATCAGATGAGAATAAAGTTTCGTCAGTCTTAATCATTACTATTTCAAGATTAATCAACATCATTTTCAAGTTACTTTTATTACTTTCCGATTACTCACCAAATCATTGAACACTATTATACAAAGTTTACAATCAATCCTCAATCATTCAATTCACTTCAAGTAAATCTTTTTCCAATCACAAGATTTTCTCTCCAATTCAATCTAAATTGAATAATAAATTAATCATTTTGACTCAATTCAAAGAGTCTAAAGAATCAAAAGGAAAAGATGAAAAGCTGAATTTGAGAGAAAAAATTGCAATTCCTAAGTTGAATTGAAACATTAAATTGAAGTCAATTTCAGATGAAATAATTGCTAACAATTTCTCGAGTTTTGGTTGATGTTATTAGCTGAAACCACTGTTAGATGATCATGAAACAATGCATCATCTAATGTTTAATCAAAGTGAATTGTTAATGAAGAATATTTTCTCTACTTAATCATCATCAAATTAGATGATTACTGATGTGATTCCATGTGACAACTGATCAAGATGAAGATAATAATGTTGAAAGAGTGAAAGCGAAGCTGAACAAAAAATGCTTGAAAGACATGAAAAAGGATTAAAGCACACAACAAGAGTCACACTGAGCAATAACTGAATAACCTTTTGATTATAGCAATTTAATTAGATGCGAGAAGGCAAAGGAGCAAAAAATGAGTGAATGATGGAAATGATGATAATGTGAAGAAAAGGATGAGCAAAATTATGAGTAAAGTGAACAGGGAAGGAAAAACGCAAAGAAGGAAAAAGATGTTGGTAAAGTTGTGAGTTCTCATTATCATCATAATCATTTATTCCCTCATCTTGATCATCATCTTTGTCAGTCATTGTTGTAATCATTCAATATTCTTATGGTCTGTATTACTTGTACTTTGTCATGTTATATCACAGTTGATATTCAATGGAAATGTTTCATCTCTTTTTTTCTACTTTTTCCGATTTTTCCTTTCCTTCTGATCTTTTTCACTTTCGCCTCAAGATTTTTTTTTTGCTGCTGCTGTTGTTGTTGCTTTCAACTCACGCTAAGTAGATTCACTAATAGCAATGATGATAATAGGAGAAGGAACAAAGCAATTTAATAGTTGAATTGAAGGTTGAATGGGAATTGGAAGCAAGAAAAAAGACTTGAAAATGTTAATTCCTTACAATTGACAGACTCTGACAATTTCCGAATTACATTATTTAAATTATCATTTCCATTTAATCATATTTACTGTTTGCTTTTCAACCTTTACCATTGAAACTAAATTCAGAATAAATATTGATTTTTGTTAATTTACTCTCTAAATTGTAACTTCATTGTAACATTTATCAAAATTTAAAGGTTTTTCCAGTTAATTATACGCAACTCTTGAAAATGATTGAAAATGTTGAAGAGAAGAGAAGAGAAAAAAATTTGCTGAAAAACAGTAAAATTAATATATTAATATATTCCAGTTTAACATTTTAAAATGAAGTGATGAACTTTTGCCTGGAGTAAAATTGTTAAGCTGTAAAAATGAGTCACAAAAGTTGTTCAATGTTCTGAAAGTGAAATGAATTAATCAATAAATGAACAGATTTACATTGAACATTGATAATTGAGCTTGAGCAACAGTTTGATCAAAATGATTATCCGAGTTGGC